CATACTGCCTCCATCATCAGGGCGATGAGTATGAAGATTTCTGTCTTCTGGGTTGTTGCGCCGTGTAGTCTGGTAGATATTTACCAAAGTTTCAGAGGTCATGATAAATCGCCCTGATGACGGAGGCAGTATTACCTCCGAAATGTTGGTAAACATCTACCAGACTACACAGCGAAACAACCCAGAATACAGAAATCTTCATTCCATATTTTGTTTTACAACATGGTTCATAATGCATATTGAAATATAATGTTTTCATATGACAGACATTTGCTGATGGAACAGAAAATCACGTATTTTAAATATGAAGCAACACAGCTTTCAATCTCAGCATCGAATAATCGATACATTAGCGTCGTTAGTTTAGCCAAGGGGGAGCGTCTACATTATTGCATGCTCTAAACTACCTTCGTTAAGAAAAATGATAAAATGTATGCTTGACGTCTGTAGAACAAAAATGTCTTTGTGCCTTTTTATAGATTATTCTAGCATTTAATCTAGAACAAAAAGTTAAATTGATATTTTACAAATTGGAATCACGAAGGAGTCTTCTCAGCTCTGCTTGAAATATTAAATGATACTCTGTAGATGAACAGCACGTTCTAATAAGCTGTTCAGAATCGTATTGATTTTCAGGCAGTAAACTGTATTTAGCTTCGTCAATACAATTAAGAGTACTTACAGTTTCATCATCTGTCCTCCGCGTTTCCGGCGGCCAGTTCCTGGAAAATTGTCGCTGTGCAAAATAGGCCTTGTTACTGATGGTAAATTGAATTATGTACCTTCGTTTAGATTTGGCAGTACGTAATGCCTAATCCGTTAAATATTTCTTTTGTCATTTCCTTATCAACGGATCAGCGAAAGATATTTAGACGGTATCCGTTTAACCATCAATCCAGATGTCTGAAAGACGTAACACAGAATGTGTTAGGTACTCACGTCTTGTGCTGAATCTCTGCCTCACAAACAAGATGAAGTTTGTAAGACTTGAGGTTCTCACAGCGGTGAGTATGAAGATATCCGTCTTCTGGGTCATCAGGTGATGATGGAGGCAGTATGACCTCCGAAACGTTGGTTAACATCGACCAGACTACACAGCGCAACAACCCAGAAGACGGAAATCTTCATACTCATCCCCCTGATGATGGAGGCAGTATGACCTCCGAAACGTTGGTTAACATCGACCAGACTACACAGCGCAACAACCCAGAAGACGGAAATCTTCATACTCATCCCCCTGATGATGGAGGCAGTATGACCTCCGAAACGTTGGTTAACATCGACCAGACTACACAGCGCAACAACCCAGAAGACGGAAATCTTCATACTCATCCCCCTGATGATGGAGGCAGTATGACCTCCGAAACGTTGGTTAACATCGACCAGACTACACAGCGCAACAACCCAGAAGACGGAAATCTTCATACTCATCCCCCTGATGATGGAGGCAGTATGACCTCCGAAACGTTGGTTAACATCGACCAGACTACACAGCGCAACAACCCAGAAGACGGAAATCTTCATACTCATCCCCCTGATGATGGAGGCAGTATGACCTCCGAAACGTTGGTTAACATCGACCAGACTACACAGCGCAACAACCCAGAAGACAGAAATCTTCATACTCACAGCGGTGAGTATGAAGATATCCGTCTTCTGGGTTATTGCGCTGTGTAGTCTGGTCGATGTTTACCAACGCTTCAGAGGTCATACTGCCTCCATCATCACCTGATGACCCAGAAGACGGATATCTTCAAGATGAAGTTTGTGTGACCTTTGACGAGAGGGGGTGGAGTTTTGTCTTTTAGGATTAAAAATTAATTCTCCTCACACACGACAAAAAACTGTCCGGGTGTTTGGGGAACTTACGAGGCGCTCTGGCTCGAAACAATAAAAATAAAAGGAAAGAAAACTTTATTCGAAGTTTACTCAGCGAAATCACGTGCGAAAGAAACTAAAGCCAGGATGTAAGTTGTGTGACAGAACTGAATGAGTATGGACATGTTCTAAACTTGAGCGTTCAAATAACAAATATCAGACTCCCTACTCTAATCACACTTCTAATTAACCTACATTTGTGTGTCACTCAAAATCTGTGGGTGATACAAAACTTCTTTTCTGACCTTCTAGTTCGGTGCAACGAATACGTATAGAGCACTTAGAAAATCTCTTGTCACAGAGAATCTGCTGAAAAATGTATATTAAACACGTTGCCTCTGAGGGACCCAAATCAGTGGGTACGGGGACTGGCACCCCCCAAGGTATCTGAGCTACCCAGTGCCTGGGGGTATAGTTGGACCACCCTACATAACGGGCGCTGTAAATACGGAGGTCTGATCCTCCAGGTTGAGGGGTTGAGCTGACAACTTGTTGCGAAATCAGATGAAGTAACTGCCGGATGGACTCATTCACGGCGGACTGGCAAACAGGTTGTCTGTGAATGAGGAAGAATGGAAGAAGCTTTTGAAGAAGACTAGGGTCCACACAGGGCTGTAGAGCCAATGATGATGATAACATTAAGCACGTTGTGCTGGAGTAAGCCACTTCATGAAAGGTTCCAATAGTTGGATTTCACGAAAATTATTATGAATCTTCAGCTTTCCTGAATGAAAGTAATTCTATAATCAACTTCAATATTAATAGCCGTAAGATGACCCTACCCCTAATAAAGTCTTAGTTTAGTTAGTTGATTGGTTTACTGATTGATCAGTTAGTTGGTTGGTCAGTTAATTAGTTGTCTGTTAATTTACTTGTTAGTTGGTTACTTGATTGGTTAGTTTGTTAGCGGATACTTGTATTTGTTAGTTGGTTTGTATTCGTGTTAGTTCGCCAGTTTATCAGTTTCTTAATTGTTTAGTAGATTCATATGTCAGTTTGTTAGTTAATATCCACTTTTTCCAGTTTGTTAGTTAGTTAACTGATAGGTTGATCTCATTTGTAAATGAGGCCCCCTGGGTATCACCTGTTCGCGGCACACGTGTCGTTTTGCACAGAGTTTTTTATTATTCCTATGAGCCCCACTGTGCTTGTAACCCACAGAATAATGAGCGTGCATTACGGCACTTCATGGCCACAAAGAGGTAGTGGGAGGATACTTCATCTGTGTCCCTGTCCCTGGCTACGCAGGATGTGGTCATTACTGAAGCAGGGTCCCCAATTCTCTTCACGTCACTTCCGCCAACGTGTCCATCTGTCACTGTGGACAGACTGGTTTCTTGATCAGTTTTTAAACTGGGAGGTCCGAATAAGGGACGTATTTGCATTCAAAAATACAGAAGTTAGTTACAGTGATTTTGTACCGGAGAAGATATCAAGAAAATTACGTAAAATTATGTAGAATTTTATAAGTGTATTTCTTTTACTTTGGGTTTTATCGTAGGACATTCGTATTAACAGTTATAAAAATGTGTTAGACTGCCATATTTTTGTCATTAGTTAAATAATTGATTACGTTGTTGCATTAATTGAGGAGGAAGATAGTCCAGTATAAAAATAATAAACAATTGATCATAAAAATAAAGATATACAAACGAATATAAAATTTCTATTAAGAAATCGCGTATAATTAAATAAATTTTGTAAGTAAAATTGTGTTAATTTGAGTTTAATATTGGTGATAAAATACAAATATCGTTATTGCTTATAAAAAAAACTGACTGCTAAAATCGTGAAGTGAATACAGAGCTTATTTTTGTGAATACGATATATTAAAATTAACAGTGCAAGTGTATGAACACATCAGTAACAAAGAGTAAAGCTATTGAAACAGTATTGTGATATACTTACAAAATGTAAAGTCTTAAACGTAAGAACAAAATTATAATTTTGGTATAACAGATCTGTATAAAGAAACTTGAGACTAAATATGCCTGAGAACATCATTTTTTAATTGACAAAATCTCGATACGCTTAAAGAAATTATTTAAAAACGCATTAAGAAACTTGCAACATTTCGTCTCTCAATTCTAATGCTGTATATTTTTAGTGTCTTACGGATGCATTGAACAGTGATCTTTATTTGATTTTGTATTTTAAATTAAATACTGTGGTGTGATTTCAAAACGTAGATCCAATAACTTAATAATCATCATGAATAAAATTATCAGTTTTCCTAGCCATAAATTGTTAAGAATGTACCTCATCCTGATTCTAACAAATTCAGTGCGAACAGCGCCAATTGAAAAATCTGCGTTGGGTCTTGACTTCGATTTCTTACCAAACGTAAGCGACAGTGGAGAGCAGATTAAACAAGAGCTGGAAGGAAATACAAAAAAGGCAGAATTAACTAAGGACAGACTACAAGTTTTGGATGAGCTGATACTCGATGACGCAGATGGTCTCCTTTCTTCCGGCTCCAACCTTCTAGAGGTATCTCCGACAACAGAAGACTTGGTTCCTGCCCAGCCAAACAACCCCAAGGCTGACTACGAAGAAGTAACTGCCGTTAGTAAAGATTTGGACCTCGTTGGTGCCACTGTGGACGCGGAACTGATACAGGTAGTTCCAGTTCTGTAGTGCTTTATGAGTAGCTGGTTGTCTTCTAGGTTAGGTTACGCCAAGCAGTGTAGTCCGGTAGAAGTTTACCGACGTTTTAGAGGTGCTTGTTGCCTCTATCAGAGTACCCTAATAGCAAGCACTTCTGAGATGTCGGTAAACTTTTGCCATACTCCACGGCAAGCACAAGTACCCAGAAGACAAGGCAGCCATCTTTATACTCGCCACAGCGAGAATCTAAAATCTAATTTATCCTTGAAGATATCCGTCTTCTGGGTTGTTGCGCTGTGTAGTCTGGTCGATGTTAACCAACGTTTCAGAGGTCATACTGCCTCCATCATCAGGGCGATGAGTATGAAGATTTCTGTCTTCTGGGTTGTTGCGCTGTGTAGTCTGGTCGATGTTAACCAACGTTTCAGAGGTCATACTGCCTCCGTCATCAGGGCGATGACAGCGCAATAACCCAGAAGACAAGGCAGCCATCTTTATACTCACCACAGCGAGAATCTAAAATCTAATTTATCCTCGTTTCTTTGAACTGGAAGGAACATTTTCGTCTTTGCAGCTTCGAAAGTTCCGGACAAGATGTAGGTGAGATTCTTAACGTTAACAGTTTAGGTTATTTCATCTTCCTTTTCTAGGTACTTTCTGTAATGTTGTAAGAGTACATTTAGAAAACTGTAGTTTTAATGTAGATGTGACAATTATTTTCTGACCCGGAGGGCATAGAACGTATTCAGAGTGAAAAGTAAGATGAAGTATATAAAAATTTATAAGACTACGTTGTGACGAACAGCACATTTAGTACTTTCATCCTATACCATTAGGGTGATTAAGAATGAGGATAAACACCACAGTACGCGTGGGAGAGTTGAGAAATGTATGCAAAATATAAGTCTGAAAACGTCGAGAGAATATACCACTTAGGAGTACATGGGAAGGTATGTGTTTTTTCAAAATTTATCTTGGAGAATTAGGGTATGAGGGATAGGACTAAATTAAAGTGGTTCGTGACGAGATAATGGCGATTTGTAGCAAATAAAATATATAGCCGTGTGGTTATATAGAAGCAGGGAATTTTATGATCTGCTGAACAGGTAGCCTATATAACTTGAAATCAAATCATTCAACATGGAGTCAGCCAGTCAGTCAGACAATACAAAGCAAATGATAAGTGACATGAAGATTTCTGTCTTCTGGGTTCTTGCACTGTGCAGTCTGGTCGATGTTAACCAATGTTTCGGAGGTCATACTGCCTCCGTCATCAGGGCGATTAGTATGAAGATTTCTGTCTTCTGGGTTGTTGCGCTGTGTAGTCTGGTCGATGTTTACCAACGTTTCAGAGGTCATACTGCCTCCGTCATCTGGTTAACATCGACCAGACTACACAGCGCAACAACCCAGAAGACGGAAATCTTCATACTCACCGCTGTGAGAACCTCAAGTCTTAGATAAGTGACATGTCTTCTGTTATACTTAATTTTGCAGTCAGCGTCTTATTTCTGCATCTGGAAGACTATTTCCATAGTTACCTAAGAAATCTCAGGTTTGCCAGCCCCAAGCCTATATGCTAACATGGAGAAACGATATTACACGTGCCATTTTGTAATCGTTTGTCTACATAAACTCAAAGTGTTTCTATGTTGGTCTCATTGCCTGTATACGGCTTCTAGGTCGAAGTAATAGTTCCCATTGTTTTCAACTTCGGGAACATTTAAGCTTATTCAGTAATATTTAAATGCTGCGTTTATTTCCCACATGGAATTAGCTTACATAAGTCGGCAGCATAATACTTCACTGTAGATTAAACTCAAAAGAGAAGTATACTTTTTGTTCTGGACACCGCTCCTCAGTTTTGAATTTGCATGTGTTTGCAGATCGTGCAGAAAGGTTGATTTTAGGGATGAATTAGAGACACAGAGCTTTAAATACGTAATAATAATTCCTAGGTCAGATAAAATGTACCAATATAAAGAGAAAATGCATGGATGGATTTATAACACGTAACTTTCTTGTTTGCCGAAAAGATTATTTTAAAATTGGCCACATTTATTATCTGTAAATTATGTCAGAGTATAAAAGTGATCCACGTTAGCCGGTATTTAAAATAGAAATAAATCAAGGGTGTACAAAGTAAGGCCATTAATTAATTTAGAGAGTCTTCGTTAGAAGTAAACCCCGTTTAAGTTTAACGTTACAGGATCGATTAAGTCAATAATAATATCTACACGAACAACCAGCGTTACTCAGATCCATTTTTCGTGTCCTACGGTTTAGCTTTTTTAATGGGTACACGTAAATTATCATTGCTTATACGTGCAAGAAACAACGTTAATTGTGACGAGAAATGCATCATTATTACTACTGAATAATTCATATTGATTATGGCAATAGTGTCTTTTTATAGTGTTAATAGTTGTTTTTTTACTTATTTTATATTTTCAATTCATATTGAATTAAAACAGAAGTACAGTGAGTGATCAACTAGTCTACGCAATTGTAAATTATTGGCAGGAGGTTAAAACTAAAGGAGCTCCTAAAACCAATTTGGGTTAAAAGTTAAAGCACCAGTTAGAATAGTGATTTAGTGAATGTGGTGTTTATCTTTTAATCTAATTTATTTACTTTATAACACTAACACTGCGGTCATCTCGTGATCTTGTGATCTGTGATCTTGTGAGATGCACGAGCCACTAGCGCCCCTAGAACTCTAAATTGTGTGCCAATTTCAAAATATTAAAATTTCGCTGCACACATCTCAAAATAACTTGTATTTGTAAATAAACAAAATTTAAATATGAAATTTAATTTTGTGTGTGGAAATCATGAATTTGGCATGGTGGCACTAAAATTTCAGGCTTTGTCTTACCCATTTATCGTACCTAATCTCAATCCGGTTTTCGTGTAAATTATAAACACAAGTTAACCACTGGTACTTTCATTAATAATTTTGCATTCCTATTATCATTGCAATACAGACTGAAGTATTTGGGCAAAAATTGGCGATAAGACCTCTTCCTAGAAGTACCTTATTATAGTTTCATTAAACTAAGAATATGGGTTGATGCTTAATTTCGTTAAGATTTAGAGTTTAGGGGGTTTCACAAAGCGTAGATTGAGAGTTTCTCTGAGTTCTCACTACAGAAGTAATCTAAGCGTCTCATGTAGTTGAGTCTGAAGATGGCTGTCTTCTGGGTTGTTGCGCCATGTACTCTGGTAGAAGTTTACCGACGTTTCAGAGGTTCCTGCTTCTTCCATCGTCGCCCTGGATTGGTAAAATCCTACCAGATTGCAGCGCAAAAAACCCCAGAGAACAGCCATATTCTAAGCGTCTCATATTCTCTCCATGAAGTCTTGTCACAAAATGTAAAATTTGCCCATACTTGTTAGTAATCCTTACATAACTACCGCCTCCTATGAAATCACCGATTCAAGTAAAGTAGGAAAGTACGATTGTCTCAACTTCGCTTGTTGATGATTCCAATGTTTTAGGTGCGACAGCGACTTCAGAAGCTGGACTTCTACTTCGAGTACCTGCGCGTGATGTCCGAGGACTGCCGCCAGAGAATGCTGTGCGAAGTTACGCGGGAGCCGGGTCGTTTCTATCCCCTCAGCAGCGTACTGGAAGACGCTACCAGGTAACGACTGCTTCTGGGAAGAATTTGCGATATACACATTCCTTTTTGTCTCTATGATTACCCTTGCAGGAATTTTAAATCTAAATATATGTTCAAGCAATAGTTAGCTTATATCAGTAAAGCATCCCGTTACATGCCTATTCAGGCACTTAGGAGGAGCATAGGTATACTCTTTCATGACCGCGGCACCAGATGGAGGTGAGTGGTTAGCATCACGCACCGGCAGTAGTTAGCTTATTTAATATTACGAAAAAGTTCGGTTAGTTAGTTTGTTGGTTTTATAGTCATTACTTAAAAAGGTGCTTCATTACTTTGTATCTTTCATTTGTATTCTTGTAACTAGAATTATTAATGTGAGAGGCATTATAGGCAGTGCTCAGGTCGTTAGTTACAGACTTCTTAACCAGGGTTCGCGCTTTGGTTAGTCGATGTAAGATTTGTACTAGACTAAGTGGCAGTGGGACAGGATTCCATCGGAGTCCTTCGGTTCTCCCCTGTCGGTATAATTCCTCAGCCTCTCCATATTCACTCGTATGTCATCTGAGAGATGGACAAAGGACCTTTTGGAGGACCAATTCCACGGAAACATAGTTAATACCAACCCAATAATAAAAATAACAGGCATGGCTGAGTTTTAGTCAGTGTCTGTTTTTATAATAAACAGCACTGTATGTGTACTGCACAGTGGATGGATATGGTTCGGGTCTCTTCATAAACAAAGCTAAAATGTCCAATGATCATATACCTCTGACTGTGTTACACTTCGGATATTCGATGTTTGTTTTAACTGTCACTTTCATACGCATTCAGCACTTTGTAACCGTTCATTGAACTACATATTCGACCACCTTCAGATTCGACGTGTCTTCGTAGTAATTTAATTTGTATTAAAACAAAGATTTGCATACTTTAGAAAGCATTTTGTATCAATTTTGGACTAAACCTAGAACGAAAGCAATTATTGATTTTGAATACAAATGAAATGACAACGTATACACCAAAAATAATAAGAAAACAAAAAAATATTTAGTGGATTACATTTATTTATATTGCTGGATTACTGATTAGAATTTTGGTACGACATTGGATTTGATTGTAATTTATTGAAGAATGTTTATATCAGACCTAAGGATGACCGCATACGACCGAAACATGCAGTTCTAGTAAAACGTTTAAAGTGGTAAGTATTATTTTCAAAAGTGGCAGTTATAAAACATCAAGTGTCTGAGTCAGATAATTAAAATATCACTCATTGCCCATTCCAGTAAGCATAATTAACGATGAGATAACAAATATTACGTAAGATCATGTTACACTCTCATTACAAATCAAGATTACATAGGACGAGGGTAGAAGTACCGTGCTCTATTTTATGTGGTTAGTCACTAGCATCTCACCGTGGAGGCTGGAGTTCGGGACCGAGGCAGTCCATGTGTAATCTGTGGTTTACAATGAGGTACCGGAGTTCGCTTTACTACGAGTCCTGTGGTTATTCCCTGTCAATGTCATTCCACCGATGTTCTATATTCACACATTTATCATCTGGGGGATGGACGAGGGGGCCATCAGCTGTCGCAGTTGCGCGGAGACTTGGTCTAACACTATCGCAACCACAAAAAAAAAATGTTTTTGAAAGGAACTGTATTGGTCTAATATTTTCTCCCTTTCTGTTTATGTATCTACATATAATCTGCACGCGCTTGGTTTCAAATCCCGTCAGATAGGAGACCTTCATGTAGATAACACTGTCACATATCGGAGATATATATCAGAAGATACTGATTTTTCTACGTTAAAAACGATTAAATTGCTAGTGTAGTAACTGTACATTTGTCAGGAATGAATTATTAAAAGTACTTAAAATCTTTGTAATTGTTAGTCACTCGTGGGAAATATTCAGAATTTCTTACACTGAAGATGCAGACATTACGTTCTTCTGGAAACTTCCAAACCTCCTACAGCTAAATTATAAGCCACAAGACCATAATTGGCATATTTAATTCTGAGGAAGAATAATTTAGCGTGTTTAATCTGTGAAAGAATAAGGGAGAAAATATTAGGATGGGGGAACATGAAAAATAATATAAAAGATGGAGACAACAATAAAAGAGGAACCGGCGAAGAATATGTGAAGAAGGAAGTCTTATAGGGCAGGAGTGCTCAGGAAAATCTTTAGAAAGTGGGCTGAAAGAAACACAGACTGTGTAGATTACACTCCCTGACTTTCAATAAACAAAATCAACTGTGCCACCTGTCTATTCCTTTCTGTTTCATAAAATGAAAGGAAAAACACAGGAAAATGTTATTTCAGTAAGTGCATTTATTCTCTCCGTGCATTTGCTTTCAGAAAAATATTGTATTAGAATCAACCCATTTCTTTCTTACCTTCTTCTTAAGCAGAAAGCGTATTCTTGTTCTCCGCTGCATCAAACAAACAGCAGGGGCAAATCGTCGTCTACTTTTATGAATCGAAATGAGTTTGGGAGTCGGCCACCTCCTTGAGTAATATTTAAAGCCGATGAATCGAAAAGCTCAGTAGACAAAAGCAGACGGCAGTCGAGATTAAAATCATGGAACAAACATTACGACTTTATCAGCTCTAACCATGATTACAAACATGAGCAGCCCATTATTTTACAAAACTACGTGTATTAGGTAAAAGCTGGGTGCTTTTACATTTTGGCGTGAAACTCGGTGTCTCAGCCTAAAGTAGTACATATCTGGGGGCCTAGAAAAAGGGTTCGAACCCAAGAAAAGTGAACAGGAAAAATGAAAAAAGGTCCTTGTTGAGGAATATTATAAATTATGAAGATTTCTGTCTTCTGGGTTGTTGCGCTGTGTAGTCTGGGCGATGTTAACCCACGTTTCAGAGGTCATACTGCCTCCATCATCAGGGCGATGAGTATGAAGATTTCTGCCTTCTGGGTTGTTGCACTGTGTAGTCTGGTCGATGTTTACAAACGTTTTAGAGGTCATACTGCCTCCGTCATCAGGGCGATGACGATTTCTGTCTTCTGGGTTGTTGCGCTGTGTAGTCTGGGCGATGTTAACCCACGTTTCAGAGGTCATACTGCCTCCATCATCAGGGCGATGAGTATGAAGATTTCTGCCTTCTGGGTTGTTGCACTGTGTAGTCTGGTCGATGTTTACAAACGTTTTAGAGGTCATACTGCCTCCGTCATCAGGGCGATGACGATTTCTGTCTTCTGGGTTGTTGCGCTGTGTAGTCTGGGCGATGTTAACCCACGTTTCAGAGGTCATACTGCCTCCATCATCAGGGCGATGAGTATGAAGATTTCTGCCTTCTGGGTTGTTGCACTGTGTAGTCTGGTCGATGTTTACAAACGTTTTAGAGGTCATACTGCCTCCGTCATCAGGGCGATGACGATTTCTGTCTTCTGGGTTGTTGCGCTGTGTAGTCTGGGCGATGTTAACCCACGTTTCAGAGGTCATACTGCCTCCATCATCAGGGCGATGAGTATGAAGATTTCTGCCTTCTGGGTTGTTGCACTGTGTAGTCTGGTCGATGTTTACAAACGTTTTAGAGGTCATACTGCCTCCGTCATCAGGGCGATGACGATTTCTGTCTTCTGGGTTGTTGCGCTGTGTAGTCTGGGCGATGTTAACCCACGTTTCAGAGGTCATACTGCCTCCATCATCAGGGCGATGAGTATGAAGATTTCTGCCTTCTGGGTTGTTGCACTGTGTAGTCTGGTCGATGTTTACAAACGTTTTAGAGGTCATACTGCCTCCGTCATCAGGGCGATGACGATTTCTGTCTTCTGGGTTGTTGCGCTGTGTAGTCTGGGCGATGTTAACCCACGTTTCAGAGGTCATACTGCCTCCATCATCAGGGCGATCGCTATAACCCAGAAAACAGCTACGTAATAAAGATGTTTGTCAGTCGCTTCAGTCAGTTTGCTGTTTTCTTCAGCCAGCCAATCAGACGTTCACTTACTTAATCAAAGGTTTTTTGTTTATTACTGAACTTGACAGTAGCTGCCTTAAGACACGCTCCATTACAGTTGCGTGTTTCAGATATAAAATACTGTTTTTATCATTTATATAATCGCAAAATCATTATTAAGACGTACAATATTGAAAAGTTGAATTTAACTGGGATGGGTTAGTTAAATCATAAAATTGCTGTTTCTTTTAGAATGGGTTTACTTTGTGATTCGTAACGCAGTCAGTACTCAACTGATCATGTGTGTGCAGTGGCAATAATTGATTGTTAAATACTGTATTGAGCTTTTAACCAGCAGCCATGTTTCTCGGGAAAATAAAGTAGTGCGATTCTGGAATGTTGCATTGCATCGTTCACAGTTATATGGAGGTCATCGAGAGGCATCATCCGTCGAGATCTAAATCCATATTTTTCTCTGAAAAGAATCCTCCTGAGGTTTCTTTGGAATCAGAGTCTGTAGACTGTTTTCTAAAGTGTACAATAAAATAAACTATTTGGTGCACTTACAAACTAACTTAATTAAGTAGAGGATTTTCTGAGAAGTTCATTGCCAAGAAATCTCCTGCCATTTATAAAACCCTAACCTACATTACTGTCTTCGCATGAGCTCACCACCGGACCACATCCTAAGACACGTGTCTCCAGTTTAAATTCTCTCATTTTACTTCCCTAACATGAATATTATTATTATCCTCCTATTTGAGAGTAGATTTCCGAGTGGTCTCATCCTATTCAAGTTTTATAATCAAAATTTGGTTATCCATTTACGTTATCTTCCTATACTTTCTACATACCCCACCCAGCTTCATTTAATAATCCTAAAATATTTAGTCAAGAATAAAAATTATAATCTCTTCACCAGATTTGCTACAGATTTCTGTATATTCCTATGGTTATGCGAAACGTCAAATTTGACTGTTGAGTGATTGCGGGAGAATTTTATTCCGCTGACTTTATCAAATATTTATTAAAATTAAACCTGGAATGACTAGTATTTTTCATGAGGCAATCTCTGGCTTTTACATGAACAAATACGAACTGAAAATAGAAATGTTATGAGTTCAATCAAGCCATTGCTAAGGCGGGTGACCCGTATTTTGGAAGTATTCTGTTCGAGCCTCGGTAGTATCGTTACTATAATAGTGTATCCATACTGATCTTTCATGGAATTCCTTAATTTACTCCGAAAAAATGTCGCGATAATATATTCAAATGTCACACAAGGTCTATACCGTATATAATTATTTCCCTTAGCGCAGGTCTACTACATTTTTTCCCCGTCTCAATTTTGTAACTTTAATATTCCGCAGAATTTAATGGTAAGAGTAAAAATATCCAGTTCCTCACTGTGATATTATCTTAATTCTAATTCTTGATTACAAATATGAAATTTGTGTAATAGGATAGGTCCGCGGTGTTCAGCCCCACCGATTATATTTAAGAGTTATTCAGATAACATTAAAATATTCAGATATAAGAAATAGATCACAGAAAATATTTTATGATTCACGAATTCTTTTATGTTCAAGTTTTACCGGAAGTTACCAGTATCTGACGTCACAGTTGGTGAATACAACAGAGGGTGCAAGACTTATGTCCTACTTAGAAGCTTCATTCATAGGACAGGGCAGGTGAGTGCGGGTGTTACAAGCAAGTGTAATCTTGTAACACACTTGAATGTGTACCGGAAGACAGCTTTCACTTGTGCACTCTGTGTGGTTATCACCGAGTGTATTGTCTTCCTGGAGCAAATTCAGTTAACTAGAATGAAATCACTAAGTAAATAATAAATTTATTAAGTGACCTCACAACAAACGTTCTTACTAATTCGCTAAACGATTGACTAACTTGCAATATTTAATATATTAAAACCATCAAGTATATTTCAAAGTATTAACACAGCTATTTGTTAAGTAACAATATTGTTAAATAAATAATTTAACGTAATAAATTACTAATTGGGGTAGCAGCCATGTTTCTCGGGAAAATAAAGTAGTGCGATTCTGGAATGTTGCATTGCATCGTTCACAGTTATATGGAGGTCATCGAGAGGCATCATCCGTCGAGATCTAAATCCATATTTTTCTCTGAAAAGAATCCTCCTGAGGTTTCTTTGGAATCAGAGTCTGTAGACTGTTTTCTAAAGTGTACAATAAAATAAACTATTTGGTGCACTTACAAACTAACTTAATTAAGTAGAGGATTTTCTGAGAAGTTCATTGCCAAGAAATCTCCTGCCATTTATAAAACCCTAACCTACATTACTGTCTTCGCATGAGCTCACCACCGGACCACATCCTAAGACACGTGTCTCCAGTTTAAATTCTCTCATTTTACTTCCCTAACATGAATATTATTATTATCCTCCTATTTGAGAGTAGATTTCCGAGTGGTCTCATCCTATTCAAGTTTTATAATCAAAATTTGGTTATCCATTTACGTTATCTTCCTATACTTTCTACATACCCCACCCAGCTTCATTTAATAATCCTAAAATATTTAGTCAAGAATAAAAATTATAATCTCTTCACCAGATTTGCTACAGATTTCTGTATATTCCTATGGTTATGCGAAACGTCAAATTTGACTGTTGAGTGATTGCGGGAGAATTTTATTCCGCTGACTTTATCAAATATTTATTAAAATTAAACCTGGAATGACTAGTATTTTTCATGAGGCAATCTCTGGCTTTTACATGAACAAATACGAACTGAAAATAGAAATGTTATGAGTTCAATCAAGCCATTGCTAAGGCGGGTGACCCGTATTTTGGAAGTATTCTGTTCGAGCCTCGGTAGTATCGTTACTATAATAGTGTATCCATACTGATCTTTCATGGAATTCCTTAATTTACTCCGAAAAAATGTCGCGATAATATATTCAAATGTCACACAAGGTCTATACCGTATATAATTATTTCCCTTAGCGCAGGTCTACTACATTTTTTCCCCGTCTCAATTTTGTAACTTTAATATTCCGCAGAATTTAATGGTAAGAGTAAAAATATCCAGTTCCTCACTGTGATATTATCTTAATTCTAATTCTTGATTACAAATATGAAATTTGTGTAATAGGATAGGTCCGCGGTGTTCAGCCCCACCGATTATATTTAAGAGTTATTCAGATAACATTAAAATATTCAGATATAAGAAATAGATCACAGAAAATATTTTATGATTCACGAATTCTTTTATGTTCAAGTTTTACCGGAAGTTACCAGTATCTGACGTCACAGTTGGTGAATACAACAGAGGGTGCAAGACTTATGTCCTACTTAGAAGCTTCATTCATAGGACAGGGCAGGTGAGTGCGGGTGTTACAAGCAAGTGTAATCTTGTAACACACTTGAATGTGTACCGGAAGACAGCTTTCACTTGTGCACTCTGTGTGGTTATCACCGAGTGTATTGTCTTCCTGGAGCAAATTCAGTTAACTAGAATGAAATCACTAAGTAAATAATAAATTTATTAAGTGACCTCACAACAAACGTTCTTACTAATTCGCTAAACGATTGACTAACTTGCAATATTTAATATATTAAAACCATCAAGTATATTTCAAAGTATTAACACAGCTATTTGTTAAGTAACAATATTGTTAAATAAATAATTTAACGTAATAAATTACTAATTGGGGTCCGCGTGGTCTGAGGCGTGGGCCTTGTGAAGCTTGGTCGCTGGGACCGTGGGTTCGAATCCCACTCAAGCCATGGATGTTGTGTTGTGCTGTCCTGTGTACAGGTAGAGGCCTTGCCAAGGGCCGATCCCTCATCCAAGGAGTCCTACCGAATGTCTAGGTCGAAGCTGACGATAAAGTTTGGACCCGCAGTGCTCAGGCACTTGAAGAACGGGTCGTTCCCAGTATCCCCCAATAAATTACTAATTTTGGCAGATAATCATTTAATTAGTAAATCAATAAATTACTTATTTAGTTATTTGAGTAGTCAATCAGTTCTTAGTTCATCAGCTAGTTTGTTAATTAGTAAATAATCGTACTTATTCACGAATTCAGTCTGTAAAACACATATTTAGTTGGTTAGTCAGTTACGTATTAAGTTCGATTATTTGTTATTCGTCAAGACTGTCACTTGTGTACTTTGTTAGTGAAATAGTTATTTAATTTCCGATAGCTGCTTTGTTAATTATTAATCTATTAATTATGTATTCAGTCATTACTTAGTCAGCCAATTAGAGACTATTATTCATGCCAGGTATTATGTTGGCTATCCTTGATCCTGCTCAAAACTGTCTTGCAGTAAAGTTCTGAAGCTTACCATCTGAAGTTCTGCTACAACCTGCACCAAAAAATTTGTTTCATTCACGAATACGTATATTCCCTGACAAGACTTTGTAGCTGATGTGATGAAGGATTTCAAAACTAAACACATTACCTAGTACAATTGGAGTAATGAATTCAATGAAGATAACACTCGTGGAACATGTAGTACTCATGAGAAATTTATAAATAAAAATATCAAGCACTTTGGAGACAATGTAAAGATGGGAGTATAATATTAAAATGTTTAGAGTTACAGGATATAAATGGGTTAACAGGATTAAACCTGCTTAAGAGTATATTTAAGAGTTATTTTTTAACATTCGACATCTATAAAATCATCAAGTTCATTGAAATTCCCAAATAAGAAGTCTGTTATAACCGATTCAGTCTTCATTTAAATAGTTATTTCACTACTCCCACCTTCCAGTATTGTAATTTTTAATAAAAATTCAAATTTAATTACACCGACAGCAAAATAGTTGAATTACATCAAACAGAGACCACGATAATAGAAGTTCGTGCTTCACAAAAGGCACTGAATTTCTTTAACAGCTGTCCTAATATCAACTTCTCTAGAAGGACTCTTTTCTATAGAGTTATTTATTCTAATAGAGCCAATGCCTTGCTCCGTAATATGGGACAGTGGCCTCCAAACATTCATTCTTCCTGCAGGACAAGGACTTGCAACATGTTCCAGTACCGGTGCCGTACCAGAACAGAAGAGATGATCAACTACGACGCCCTCTGCCTTTGGAGAGAGATGGTACGCTGGTTGACTGTCCACGTAATCGCCAAGGCTCATTAGCGGCTATCAACATACACGCTTATTACTACAATTAAATAGTGTATAGACGAAGGTAAATTACCTGTAGATAGAAATATACGTATAAGAAAGGCAAATATCAAAATGTGACTTTTCTGTTTCAGAAAATCAAATATCTTCTGTCTTACGTGTTGAGAAATATTGTGATGGCTTTAAATAAGATAACTCTATGAAGCTTGGAGCATTTGTTCGTGGTTTCCTGGGTTAGTCAATCCTATTGCCAGGAGTAGCTCATTGTATCGTCTTGAAATTGAATGAAAGCTTGTAGATTTATCAGATTTTAACAGGGATTTTACAGACTTTTCTAGGTTGACTAGTATTGGATATCAGTTACCAGGATTCGTCATGACAAGTATATTTTTACGAGAGGTTGTCCCATGTCAGTACTCAAAAATAGACGGATACAAATACTCCTCTCCCTTTCTTAAACAGATTGTCCGTGTTGATAATACTTCAATTTCACATACCAGTATATAATTACAAGTGTCTTATATGATTTGAAGCTTTCGCTGCGATGTAACTTATAAAATCTTCTTGAGCGATCAGCAGCGTCAGCTGGCTAAGAGAAGAAATCGACGTTTCAGTGACCATCTCTGTCCCCATAATCAGGGTTCTGATATCTTGCTTTCGTGCGGAGCGAACCCATGGAAAACCTCTAAAAATTAAGCGAATACTAAAATATTTATCTCCAGTTCTCATAGAAATTTTTAGATGTTCTATATTCATAAATTCTGCGTGTAATTCATCAGAATTTTGCACCCGAAATTTTCTTTGCAACGAGGAGTGAGCACGTGACAAACTTACAAATGAATGGAAATTAATAGATTACTTTTTCCTTTTCAAGGGATGTTCAGATTTTTCTGATTATTGGGGTCTTTGTTGTATGGAAAGTGGGGGTCATAGACCTTGACAGCTCGTACATACTAAAATGCGCAAATACACGGCTCACAATTATACATATAGATTACTTGTATGTGGCTGTTTTAAAATTATTTATTTCTGATACAAATAAATAGTAATCTGTTTCAAATAAATTACAATAAATATAAATAAATTACAATTTTTTACTGTTACACATCGGTTAAAGTCAGAATTCTTCATTCATCCCACAAACCATTGGTAAATACATAAAATATATAACTCGAATTATCATCAATTACTAAACATTCTAAATATAAAGAACTTAGAACATTTCTGAAATAACACTTTAATTTTGTTGTACATTTTCCATTGATGATGATAACTTCTTTACTCCGACTCCAGTCAAGAATCTGACCAATGGCAAAACTCCAACTGAGGATGGAGGTTATAATAACATGTCAGCTGGTGGGGATTGTGATAAGACCTAAAATATGGAATGTTCGTTGAATGACACAAAATTACAAGGAGAAAATTCTGCCCCATTGCGACTTCTCCTATCACAAGCCCCACAAGGACCGCCCTCGGATTGAATTAGAGCATTCTGTTCAAGGAGCTCTGACCTCATGCCCTTGTTTGAAGTACAGTTAATGGGAACAGCTGCTACCTGAGAGAACTCGACGTGTCGTATCGTCCTTAACTTCCAAGGTTAGCTTCTGAAAGCGACTCTAAATCTGTTGCCGACATCCGCCATAAAAAAACAAGAGTGACAAACAATTAACCAATCAGTCACATGAAGACGGAAATAGAGACAACTCTGAAACGTCGTATATGTTAAATATGCAATGGAAAATGCTCAACAACTGGCACAAAACCTTTGTAGAATCGTAACTTTAAAAGTTTTATGTTTAAGAAATAATCAGTAGTCCGTTGGTTCGAACGTTTTTGTACGCCCAAGAGGATGCGATTATCGACAGTCCCTCCGTCTTCTGTCTACTCCTATGTCACGGTATTGATAGTAGAGACGTCGTACAACGACTTACGTCCCGCATAGCAGTGGAGCCCCTGCCAAGATGTCGCTGCGTGCCGGTTAACCCTTTGAAGCCGAAGATCGTCTGAATATTATTTACGAATCCAGACCGTACCGCGAAAAGAAAACTCTTCACCTCACCATTACGAAAATCAGCTGGTTAACCCTTTGAAGCCGAAGATCGTCTGAATATTATTTACGAATCCAGACCGTACCGCGAAAAGAAAACTCTTCACCTCACCATTACGAAAATCAGCTGGTTAACCCTTTGAAGCCGAAGATCGTCTGAATATTATTTACGAATCCAGACCGTCCCGCGAAGAAAACACTTCACTTAACCATTAGAAGTCGAATCAGGCGGTACCACATAAGATTTAACCAAAGAACATCCCGGTCAAAGCCTTAAACAATAACTGTATACACATCACGCAAAATTGTGATGAAATTAAATTGTAGAGATAGGATGGTTCT